TACAAACTTACCTTACTTGTCTTTGTGAAAAATCAAAAGCATATCTCATTAGCAATGGAGTAATATTATCACCTTCACCTAATACATCATAATCCAATGATTTTCCAAGGATTTAAATTAAAACCTCGCTTTTCCGTTATTCGTTATTCGGTCACCAGACATAAAAATACTACATAAATGAGGTTTTTTCGCCGCTTTCATTTCTTTTAAATATTCAATAACTGCTGCAACATGATCATCCGTTAAATGATTAGATGAATGTAAATCCAAATGTTTTAAACATGATTTACTATCTTTAAGAAATGTTTTTAAAGATTCTGGTGTTATCATCCATTGTCCTTTAATATTTAGGGTTGATAATGTATTCGGCCATCTACGACTCATTTGTGTTAACAATTCTTCAACATTAAAATCTCCATGACAAATAAAAGTTGTTATTTCAAGTCGATTATTATTGTTAAAGAATTCCATAAAATCTTGTGTTTCTCCTTGGCGAATTTGTAGTCGTAAATTAATAATATTTATACAATGACGAAGTGCTTTTATTAAAATTTGTGATCCTCCTTCATAATTTCCAACTCTTGGTAATACAACATGTTCTAAACTATTATGTGAATTTTTAACTATGGCTGCAATATCACATGGATCTATCCAATATCTTGCTGAATCTAGAAAATTACAATAAAATCCTAGTGTCTTTAATCGTGGGAAAAATACTTTTGCTAAAGGTCGCATTTTTTCCGCTAAATATATGCATTGTATAAATTGAATAATTTCCAAATTCACACATGCAGCTAATGGTTCTAATGAATCACAATGTGCGAAATTACAATATTCAAAATGAAGTGTTGTTAAACTATTTGCTTGTGTTTTAAGTGCTTCAAGCGTTTCAATTAAAATAATTTGAAGTCGTGTTTGATAATCCCATGAATATTTAAATGCCTTTAATCTTTTTTGTGCTCTTATAAAAATACTTAAAGCTTTAACTTCCATTTCTTGCTCAACTCCACCGACCCACATTGTTTCAAGAGTTTCAGAAACTTGAGACATGGCTCGAAAAATATCTCTTTTACCTCCATGTTTACTTACACAATGAAATGCTTTAAGTCCAGTTAAGCATGTATCAGTTTCAGTTCCAGTTAAAAGCGGTACCAATGGCATAGGCGCTTCATGTGATAAATCTGATAATGAAAGAATTTCGAAAGTTGGGCACCTATTCATAAACAATTTAAATAATTGTTCTGCAATTAAAATTCTTAAAAAAGTTGATTGTTGCTCATCATTAATATTATTATTAGATTCTGTTGCAAGCCAATCGGATACAGAATTATATAATTCCACAAATTTTAATTCACGAAGAAAAGACGGATAATCAAAAATTGCTGGATTTTTAGTTGTTGAAGGTGATAATATTACTCCATTGCTAATGAGATATGCTTTTGATTTTTCACAAAGACAAGTAAGGTAAGTTTGTA